AATGTTTTTCCACCAGATGGATGCTGCATTCCTACTTTGGACTGTGGACGTTCTCATCTTTTTTGGAAACTTGGGCAGAAGTTCTTCACAACAGAAAAAAATGCCAACTTGGCTATTGGTTATGCAACAGTACAGGTGGTTTACTCATTTACCATTTAATAAGTAAGGAATAGTTTCTACCCCATAAGGTTTTGTGGGCATCTTCTGAAGTCAGTAAAAATGTCTGGTATGCAGGAGGGGGTTATATGCACAGCACATTCCAAGAAACTGTTTAATACTAATCAGACCCTGGAACTGACCTGTTAACAGTCATTGTATTTTAATGAATCAGTAGCCCACTGCATTCCAAAGTCCAGTCATTGTTTATTGCAGACTAAGCCACCAAACTGTGGATCCCTGCCCAGGCTTGTATTCCCATAAATAGCAAGGGTCAGTAACCAAAGGGGGCTATAGAGTAAAGGTCAACGACAGAAAGATATGACATAACCTACACTTATTTTGTTTAGCAGCTGCCCAAGTTTTTAAACTGAAGCTATGAGCCTGATGCACGCTATTTAATCTCAGTCGCTTCCACATAAACATCAGTGAAGGGCATTATTAATTTTGGTTCTGCAAGGCTAAGCTGCATGTTATGGGACTCTTAATAAAACATGTTTTCATAGGTTCTAGTCTACTTGACCAGCTGCATTAACTGGCATTATTAACAGGCAAATATTTGAAAGAAGTTTTCATAATGTTTACAGTCAAAGTTCTTCATCCCCAAATTGGCCTTTCCTAAGTGATTCTCTGTGTAGGATCATAAAGACTTTATATAAAATCCACATGGAATTTCAGTTCTCACATATTTCCCACTTGTAACCTACCTCAGGAACTTCTCCAAGTGAAATGTGGAGAACCTGTTTCAGCCCAAGGGCTGAATTCAAATTTAGGAAAAGTACTAGGAGGCAGTCTTGCATTCCAAAGACAAAGTAGTAGAGGCCAAAATGAGATGCTTAGCAATTTTGAGTAGACTCTACCATACTAAATACTGTCTTCTGTGAAAAGACACAGGGAAATATATTGCATGTCTACTCAGAGGTAAATGTCATATACCATTCAGAAATTCAAGCCAAAAATAAAACTCTCACCTAACACTCAAAAAAGTAGAATATAGTCTACCACAACAGTACAGAAGTACCACCCAATTTAACCTATGCATCCAAATTAATTGCAAAAGCAATTCTATTCTGATGTAACAAAGTAACTCCTGCCCCCTCCCTTAAATGTTTACTTGTTTTGCTGCACATTGAATTTTTATTGAAGCTTAGTCAGGACCACCTGGAGGAAATTTTAGGTATAACCAAGCAAGATACTCAAAGCTAGGTACACCAGAACTCAGGAGATTTACGAAGTGTCCCAATACTGCTGGGAAAAGTAACAAAAACTCCAAGAATGGCAAAGTACTCCAGAAAGTCCAAGTGCTTCTCAAAAGTTCACCCAAGGTCAGGAAGATTACATTTTGGCAATCAGTTCAAGAAAAAAAGCCAGCTGCAGGCTCTTCAAAACCTTTGCTTGTTATTCAAGGTAGACTCCAAAGAATGGCAAGGCTGGGAATAAGACAGGTGTTTTTAACATGAGGGGCCGGGGGGGGGGGGGACTGGGGGGACTGGCTCTAAACTCTTATTAGCCTACATTGAGAGGTTTGTCCAGCTAGAGGTTCTCCATCCCTGTCCTAGGCAAAAACACTGGCACTGAGAAGAAGGATGCTTTGGAGGAAGACCCGAGCTAATATGACCACAAAGTGAGAATTGCTTGCTTTGGATATTAAAAGTAATTTGCTTGAAACTATTTGAAGAAAGACTGGAACAAAAAAGAAACCAAATCTGGCAAACAGCTGTTAATTGATTGTATGTAAGAAAATATTTATTGGTCTGCTTTCTTTGCTGTCTCATTGCTTCAAAATATATTTCAGTACGTGTGTAATACAGATAGATGAACTGCTATACCATTGTTAGAAATAAACTAGAGAAGACAGAAGGAAATTCATTTTAATAACTAATCCTTAGCATCACTTCACTGTACTGTGCTAATAAATACAATTATGATTTAACACATACAAATAGGGCTTGTGGGAATCTAGTCTGCCTGCTAGATTCTCTTCCACTAGAGGGATGGATGAAAATGATTTACAGCAAAGCTCTTTCTCTGCTCTAGTCGACTAAATTGTGAAAGAACGTTGGGGCTTTCTACCCCACTATCTGCAATATGAATGCTGTCAAAAATGCTACTACCCCAGTTGCCCTAGTATCTAGATCAAAGGCTACCATAGCTATAAACATTTCACAGAACATTTCCTCAGGAGAGTAATTACTACGTTTCCTCCTTCTTTTATTGCTTATTTTTATTATGCAATACAAAAACAACCAAACCACAGCGTAAAAAGAAGCAAAAGGAAAAATTAAAACATTTGAATAGTATTTAAGAAAAGAAAAAGATCCACAGCATTAGTTACACTCATATAGTATGTATATCTCTACATATTACTATACAACAGAACACTTGCTATCATTATTAACTATAATTGTGCAAATACTTTCACAAAGGCAAATTAAAGCAATTCTCCTGGAAAGAGGATTCAAAGCTGAAGATTCCAAACAGACCAGAGAAAGGAATCTAATTTAAGTAGAAAAGACCTAAATCAAATACTCCTTCCTTTAAAGGGTTAACAGCCAACGATGAATGAAGAAGCATATCCTGTGGAATGTTGATGGCCTTGACTACTTTGTCACAATATAAATATACATGCATTTTTTAGGAATTGCTTCCAATGCCAGACAAAATGAAAAACTAGATTTGGAGATCAACAGGGGAAAAAAATAACTTGCCTCCTTCCTCACAACACCCCCTCTGTTTCCCACCTCTGGATATAACCAAGCTATACATTTCCACACACCCATTCTCAATGATTCAACTAGTCTCATAAGGGCTGTGACAGACCAGACAAAGGGTCTATCTAGTGCAGAATTTTGTCCATCCAGGAGCCGACCAGCTGTCCACAGGAAACACACAAGCAAGACGTAAGTGCAACATCAACCTTCTGGCAATGTTCACCAGTAATGTTCATGAGCACTCCCTAGCAACAGTGATACATGCTCTGGTAACCTCCCGCTTGGATTACTGTAACACGCTCTACGTGGGGCTGCCCTGGAAAATGGTCCGGATACTCCAGCTGGTACAGAACAGAGCTGCCAGGCTGCTGACGGGGACTGGCCGTTACTCTCACATAATGCTGGTCCTCTATCAGCTCCACTGGCTCCCAGTTGAAGTCCAGGCCCAATTGAAGATGCTTGTTTTAACCTATAAAGCTCTGAACAGCTTGGGACCAGGATACCTGAAGAAGCACCTCTTCCCTTACATGTCCTCATGCCCCTTAAGATCTGTGGAAGAGGCTTTGCTCTGGGAGCCCTCTTTAAAGGAGATAAAAAGAACAACTACCCAGAGCAGAGTCTTCTCTGCGGTGGCACCCAGGTTATGGAATGTGCTCCCTGGAGAGGGAGTCTATATTCTTTTCGGCGCCATGTTAAAACCTTTTTATTTAATGGCTATTTTAAAAATTAATTTTATCATTAACAGTTGCTTTTTTGTTTATTGTTTTGGTTTTGGTTTTTATATAATTTTACTGTATTTGTTACTGTTTTGTTGTTTTAATTCTATGTTGTAAGCCATCCCGAGATGTCGAGGCATGAGGGGATGGCATATAAAAGTTTTAGATAGATAGATAGATAGATAGATAGATAGATAGATAGATAGATAGGACATTGCCTCTGATACTGGAGGTAGCATAGAGCCCTCAAGACGAGCTTCCATTGAATTTGTCTAATCCTCTTCTAATGTCATCCAAATTGGTGGTTAACACTACACTTTTGGAAGTGAATTCCAAAGTTTAATTATGTGCTATATGAAGTAGCACTTCCTTTTACCTGTGCTGAATCTTTCACCAGTTGGCTTCATGACAAGACACTTTGAGAGCACTGTCTCCCATATACTTTCATCACAGCAAGTCTCCAATCCAAGGGAACTTTCAGCCAACCCAATGGCCACTCCTCAGTCTACAGTTGCTGCACACCTTCTTTGCCACCACCTTTTTCAAAATTTAGTCAGGCAGGTGAGCTATGGGGGGATGGGAGACATTATAAGGAGATGGGTGGCTTGTTCAGTTGCTATGGCCGGTAATATTTAAAGCTGACCCAAAATTTGTCCCATGTGAAGGTACAGAAGAGGGTTTGTGGCTGCCTTCAATAGGTCAGGAGACTTCTCAAATCAATAAAAGGGGATTGATTTACTTTTCTTTAGCTGGCCAAGGGTTGCCTCTCTCTTTTTTCCTTAACTTTAAAGCCTCACTACCATCCATAGAAATGGCAATAATTTCTGTCACTTTTCCTATGCCAGGAAGTTAATGAGAATGATGCAACATGATATTAACTTCTTTTTTTCTTCCCTTCCAACTGTGCATGTACACACATACACTCACACAAAGAGTCTTTCATCTTCTGGAAAGCTTTTTGGTTGCTTCTGTACCTACCACCATTGGTCTTTACTGATTTAATTACATTTTAATTAAATATAATCAGGTTCCCCTGATTCTGTTGAGATCCCCTTCTTGTGTCTTTGTAAGTAATGGAACAGATAAGTAATGGCATGTATTCCGAGAAGTAGTACATCAACAATACATTTCATGGAGTGATATAATTTAACTTTTATTCATTCTCTATTAACATAAGACAATTTATTAGTAACCCTACAAACATATATAAGCAGGTGAAAAGTATTTTATCTGCAAAAGGGTATCTTAATTTAGAAGCATCACTGTATAATTTTTCTCTTCTATAACACAGAATACTACCAAGATCGCACAGCACAGCACACATTTTCAATGCTAATTAGTACACAAAGGCAATTTTTATTTTTCTTATATATAACTGCTGATTTAAGCTAAAACTAACAAACTTTTGCAGACTTACAGTTTCCTCCAGATTTTTCAGCTGCTGGTCAATCTCTTTAAGCCGATTTTGTTGATCACGTTCTTCTTTAGTGTCTCTTAAGACCTTTTCACCCGGAACTGTTTCCAGTTTTCTATTTGCATAAGCCAAAGAATCCTAACAATAAAAAGGTAAAGGTAAAGGTTTCCCCTTGACATTAAAGTCCAGTCATGCCTGACTCTAGGGGGCGGTGCTCATCTCCATTTCCTAGCCGAGGGAGCCAACGTTTGTCCGCAGACAGTCTCCATGGTCATGTGGCTGGCATGACTAAACACTGAAGTGCACGGAACGCTGTTACCTGCCCACCAAAGTGGTACCTTTGTATCTACTTGCATTTGCATGCTTTCGAACTGCAAGGTTGGCAGGAGCTGGGACAGAGCAATGGGAATTCACCCCATTGTGCAGATTCGAACCGGCAACCTTTCGATCAACCAGCCCAGCAGCACAGCGGTTTAAACCACTGCGCCACCTTCAGTCCTAATCCTAACAATAGGAAACAATAATAGAATTGTAGGGGAAAAGCAAAGCCTTCTTGACCAATCCCTCTCCCCTGAAGTAGCCACCTGGAAGACCAAATGTTTCCTTACAGTTTAGCTTGGATTGAACAAATGACAGGATACCAGTAACAGTAAATACTGGTAATGACTTCTGTTCCACAATGATTACACTTAGATACGTGGACTTGTAGAAAATAAACAAGTAGAAAATGAAATACATTTTGATCTACTCTTTGCTCAATCCTCCAACCCCTACTTCTGCACTTCAATAAGCACCTAAACCAGGCAGAAACATACAGTTTGTTTGATCCATGACTGATAATTATATATGGTTGATGGTATGCATTCCCAGCTAAAAGAAATCAACTTGTGCAGAAATTAACATTGAGATCATGTCTCAAAGCAGAGGGTTGGGAAAGAGAGATCCACAGAATAACAAAATAAGGCACTCCTCTAGACCCACATTCTTCTACTCCTATTGCATATGAATAACTAGGGGAACTAAATCAAATCATAATGAAACAAATCTTTCTTGTAACATGCACACTCTTTGTCTCTCTGATTTGATGCAGAGTGAGGACAAAATGTGAGGAAAAGCATGACTATCCATATTAAATAGACAGACATGTTCTGGTATGATTTTCCATTGAGGAGGAAGTGGGGAAAAAAAAGGAAAGGCAGGTTGCTCACCTGTAACTGTCGTTCTTCTAGTGGTCATCTGTGCATTCACACATATGGATGTTGTGCCTGCACAGTGCCTGTGGCCAGAAAGATTCAAAGCTTAATGGTTTAGGCAGGAACTTTGCACCCCTCCCCGCCACAGAAGGCGGAGTGCCTGCCATTTCCTCAGTCTACTGGAGACCAATCGTTCACCGCCCCCCCCCTCCCGTGGGAGCGTTAAACATTGCAGGGAATCTGCTGAATAGTAGAAAAGCACATGCAATAAATCCATACACTAAGAGAAAAAGCCACCTACGGATCTGATATTAAAGTAAATACGGTACTGCATAAACCCAGTCACCAACACCGAGAGGGGCCGGAGGGTGGGTTGTGTGAATGCACAGATAGCCACTCGAAGAACGACAGTTACAACCTGCCTTTCTTCGTCATGTCTTCTGTGCATCATACATATGGGTGACAAGCAAGCTTACCAAACCCGGAGGCGGGCGGTGTCATCATTGGAGAACAGAAGAAATGATTGCCCGGCCAAAGAAGCAATCATGTCTGGCATGCACATCAAGGCGGTAATGTCTGGCAAAGGTGCAAGGAGTAGTCCAAGTGGCAGACTTGCACATGTCTTGGATTGGGATGCCAGCAGAAAAAGCAGAAGAAGCTGCTACTGCCTTCATAGAATGCCCTCAGGGCATGACAGGTAAGTCCAATTTAGCAAGCTGATACGCCAGATCGATGGTCTGCATAATTCATTTCGAAAGTCTTTGGGATCCAACAGGACAGCCCTTGTCATGTTCTGAGTACTTGATGAAAAGCCGGTTAGATTTGCAAAAAGACTCTGTGTGAGATCTGTAAAAGGCAAGGCAATGACCAACGTTGAGAAAGTGAAGCAATCGTTCTATCGGTGTAGATGGAGTAGGGAAGAAAGCTGGTAAGATAATGTCTTGATTGATATGGAAAGGAGACACAACTTTCAGTAAGAACACCAGATCGGTATGGAGAACAACCTTCTCCTTGTGGAAGTTGAGATAAGGAGGGTCTATACGGAGTGCACAGAGCTCACTGGCCCTTCTAGCCAATGTGATAGCGACGAGAAATGCAGTCTTCCAAGACAAGAGGCGCAAGTCAGTAGTCGCCAAGGGCTCGAAAGGAGGTCTGGTGAGTGCCTGCAAAACAACAGAGAGGCTCCAAGTAGGAATAACTGGTCTAACTGGTGGTTGTAAATTCTGCAGTCCCTTAAGGAATTGACGAATGAGGGTATGAGAGAATACCGAAGAACCCAACACATGGCCACAATAGTGGGAGATTGCAGCAGTGTAAACTTTGATAGATGACGGTTTAAGTCCAGTCTGATGTAGTGATAAGAGAAATTGAAGAATGCTTTCAATGGAGGCTGAATGAGCAATACAGCTATTAGATTCAGCAAAAGATGTAAAGCACCTCCATTTAGCCGCGTAAGATCGGCGGGTTGTAGGTCTTAGTGCAGACTGGAGAATGAATATTGGGATGCAGAGTACTTGGATCTGATGAGGCATTTGTTGGTATCGAGGGAGAACGAGGAGCTGTATCTGGAAAGTGTCAGGTCAGTATCGGAGCCACTGAAGCCGCCAGTACTGAAGGAGCAGCATTGTTCATCGAATGAGCCAGGGTATCAGAATGAGTGAAGGAAGATCCAGGTGAAGAACAGCTCCGTTCTGTTGAGTGATCAGATGAGATATGAGAGGCAGTCACCAAAAGGTGTTGCCGGAGAGACGGAGAAGAGTAGGGAACCATGGCTGGCAGGGCCACCAGGGAGTGATGAGAATTCCCTGAGTGTTGTCGTGAATGATTTTTGCAAGGGCTCTCATTAGAAGTGGAATTGGGGGGAACGCATAAAAGAACGTGTTCACCCACAGGATCATTAGAGTGTCTCCTTTCAAACCCGGGCCAATGCCTGCATGGGAGCAGTAAATTTCGCACACCTTGTTCGTGTGACTGACGAACAGATCTGTCTGGAGAGCCCCATGTCCGAAAGAGGTGATGACAGGTCTGACGATCTACGTAGTTCCCATTCATGGGTCGTCGACATCTGCCTGCTGAGTGTGTCCACCTCCTCGTTGTCGGTACTGGCTAGGTGAACGGCGAGGAGGGTAATCTCCCTTGGGATACACCAGTCCCACAGTTGCATAGCCAGGTGAGCCAGGGAGGCGGGCTTTGTTCCGCCTTGTTTGTTTATGTAGAATACAGTCACAATGTTGTCGGAGGGCAACCTGAACAATTTGCCCCCGAAGAGTGCCCTCAAATGACCGAAGGGCTTTGAAGACTGCCAGCAGTTCTAGGTAATTGATGTGTTTGGCGGTCTCTCAATAGTCCCTGGTGCCCTAAGTACGGAGTCCGGCACACAGGGCTCCCTACCCAGTGAGGGAGGCATCAGTGAACAGAGTCAGAGTTGGGTGAGGTGGACAGAATGGAATGCCGACAGACAGATCGTTTTGTATAGTCCACCATGAAAAGGTCTGGAGAACGAAGGTCGGAAGGCGGAGAAGCCGCTGAGATGAGTCTCATTGGAGTTGGAAAAGACCGTTGAACCACAGTTGAAGGGGCCTCATCTGTAGTCTGGCATGTGGGACTATGGAGACTGTGGAGGCCATGTGACTGAGGAGTTTCTGCACCGATAGTGCTGGAACAGTTCCATCCATGTGGATTCAACGGATGGATGCATGAAGATTGTCTTGTCGCCCTTGTGGAAGGAAGGCTTTCGCTATCATAGAGCCAAGATGGGCTCCGATGAAATCGGTGATCTGTGAGGGAGCAAGGCACGATTTCTCATGGTTAATACACAGTCCTTAATTATCTAAGAGGGTACAAGTAGTCTGAATTGATGACCGAAGGCCTTCTCTAGACGAGGAGACAATCAACCAGTCGTCCAGGTAAGGGTACACTTGAATGCCCTGGAGTCGAAGATGCGCACACACCAGGGCCATGCATTTTGTAAAGACCCAGGGAGCAGTAGCCAGTCCAAACGACAAAACGTTATATTCAAACAGGTCAGAACCAACCATAAATGAAGAAGACACCTGGGAGATGGATGGATGTTAATATGAAAATAGGCATCCTTTAAGTCCAAAGAAGCAAACCAATCCTCTCCCCTGAGCAACGGAAGGATGTTTTGAAGGGTGGTCATCCAAAACTTCCTTGTTTTGATGAATTTGTTGATGTCATGTAGGTCCAGTATCGGATGAAGACCACCATCATGCTTAGGAACTGTGAAATATCTTGAGTAGAAACCGTGTAACCCCTTGGAGCATGTGAGTTGTTGAATTGCTCCTTTATGCAGAAGCTGTTGAACTTCATCTACGAGAACCGATGACTGAGGCGTAAATCAGATCGGTCCAGGCGGGGGTACGGTATCGAACTCAATTCTGTATCCGTGCTGTACAATGGAAAAAACCCACTGATCAGATGTGATGGACTCCCAAATGGGGAGTCGATTTTGCAGTTGATCCCCAAAAGGAAGAGGGGAGGGTGGGTTCAAGAGATGAGGAGAGGTTCGCTCGGTCCGTCAGCACTGGCATTTGTCCGAATCAGGGTGACAATGGCTCTGTTGGAAACACTGTGGTTGTTGCTTCTGGAGCTGCTGGTGAGGCTGGAATTGCTATCAGCCCGAGAATTGTGTATAGGGCTGATACCGGTAGGATGGACAGGACCTAGACCACTTATGCCAAGACTGGTTGGGAACTTCCATCTGACGAGCTGTCACCCTTGATACATGAATTATCTTCATCTTGCGGTCCATCCGGGCATTGAACAGCCCTGAGCCATCGAAAGGGATGTCCTCAATACAGCGCTTTGTTTCATCCAGAAAATTGTAGTTCCGGAGCCAGGCATGGCGATGGAGGGCTACAGCACCATCGAGAGCCCTAGAGTCGCAATTGACATGGTGTCTCACCGTGGAGAGTTGCTGGACCA